CCCCCCCCCCCCTCGCTATGGGTCATGCCTACGCAAAACCTTCCCGAGGCAGCGAGGGGAAGAAGGGGAGTAGTAGTACCAGGTACAGATACATACGTGTACCTTCGCAAATTTGCATGTTTTGGCCTAATAACTATTGTTGTTCTCGTTCTCGTTGCTGTTGTTGTTGTTGTTGTTGTTGTCTTCACATGAAAAACCATTCCGATCTCTCGCTACCCAGTACCTTCGTATGTCCGTACTGATTCAACTCGACGCGGTCGATTCACGTGATCGCAGGCTAACTTACCCTAACAAGGCACACTCAAACAAAGTGGCCCCGAGGGGTCCGCAAGGCAATAGAAATCAACGACAGATATTCTGGATTCCTCCGCTCCCTCTGCGCGCTATGCGAGGTAACAACTGAGACTAGGAGTCACCATCACGGGCCGGAGAGAATGAGTACATCCCCTTGGTTCAATCTTGGTACTTCACAACGCAAGCAAAGACAAGGCCATCTGGCACAGAAAATGAGAAGAATAAAAAAAACGAGAAAAAAAAAAAAAAAGGAAACAGTAAGGAAAGAGAAACAAAATGAAAGGGATCGAGGGCAAGAAGGGACCAGGCCGAAAATAACAAGAAACAAGAGACAGAAAAAGGCACACGGTGTAGAGACCACTAACGAACAAGCAAACACANCCGCTCCCTCTGCGCGCTATGCGAGGTAACAACTGAGACTAGGAGTCACCATCACGGGCCGGAGAGAATGAGTACATCCCCTTGGTTCAATCTTGGTACTTCACAACGCAAGCAAAGACAAGGCCATCTGGCACAGAAAATGAGAAGAATAAAAAAAACGAGAAAAAAAAAAAAAAAGGAAACAGTAAGGAAAGAGAAACAAAATGAAAGGGATCGAGGGCAAGNACTCCCCCCTCCACCTTCGCGGCTTCCGTCCACTTTAACTTCGGTGCCGTATCTTTCGGTACCGGGAATCCGAGACAACATGGATCTGTTTTGGTAGATCCGTGGTCGGCCCCGAATGCCTTCAGGTCGTCGAGCACACACTTCGGGCAATGCTGTTCCTGTCCCCCACTACGTCGCTTCCCCCCCGCTACCAGTTCGCCGAGCATCAGTTGTTTACTATACAGTCTACCGATACGTGAAGACAGATTTGCAATACGTCAAAGGTACCCTCTCTTTTCGCGGTAGGCAATCCATGTACAGGTAGTAGTCGGGTACCATATTTTTATCTACGGGTTTTGTTGTGGTTGCTAGTTACATATCTGGTACATTCGTGGGCTGTTTCATCCAAGACAATGCCACTACTGCTGTAAAGGTAGTCTAGTATGTATGTTATGTGTGCATCTACTAGAGAGGAAGCCGAGACATGAGCTAGCCGAAGGGCAAGCGAAGTCATACAGCAGAGCAAAGGAGACACATACATAGCATTATAGCACCACAGAGTTATTGTGAAGCACAGGAGACACGAGTGACTAGACTCGTGCACGTTTCTCCACGGCAGCAAGAGGCGTGGCACCGAAAATGGCGATGTTCGTTTGAGCCATGTCGTCGAGAGCTTTCCGATGACGTATCGTATGTTTTTTGTCCTCCTTATGTATGCATATGGTACTCGAGCTTTGCAAATCAATCCCGGGGGTGTGATATCTTCAGTCATCTAATGTTGGAAAAGTCTTCGGAAGTTCTTCACGGGCAAATGCTTCGAGTCTTTTGCAACCAAGAAGCATATAGTCTACGCGCAGGACGATTTTCAGGCACGTTGCTCCAGGTTGATTGATTTTTCCCTGTCTCCGCGTGTCTTAATTTAGATTGACCGACCGTACCCCAAGCTCCTTCCCACTCCGTCTGATTTCCGTGCTTTCGTTGCTATCCTGCTTGCAAAAACACGTGATTTTCTCGATGGCGGCATCACGTAACGCCCGACAAGTTTCTCTCTCTCCACGTGTTGTGTCCCTCTCGTCGCCGTTTTTGCCGAACGTTTTTTGCGCGGCGCTTCTTGTGCGGCACTCGACCAAACACCAGTCGGGGAGGCTAATTTTCTTTGCACGGCAAGGGCAACAACAGGGGATCGAATGCCCAAGTTGCGCGGGACCGGGAAGAGGGGTGCGGTCTCCGAAGGCCGCGGCCTGGACAGCGGCAATGGCAACAACGGGCGGCGGTTCTGGGACAGCGCCCTCTCGGTCGTCTTCCTCGCGTGCCGTTCGCGGTTTCTGGGGGCGACGTGCTGCTTCTGCGTTGTCGCCGTCCTCCTCAAGAACACCGTCGGGCAGGCGAGAACCTGGTCACGCCTGACTTCCAGCTCTTCGTCAGCGTCGATGCGGGAGGGCCCGACAGACGCAGAGCTTGAGGCCATGATCACGTACACCCTAGATGACGGCGGCCCGGGGCGTCGGTGGGTACCCCCCGACGAGAGGCCGATACCCCTCATGGCGTTCCCCAGCCTAAACGGCTTCCAGTTCAACAAGAAGGGGCACCTGAGGCCGGTTGAGCCACGGGCCGCGCCACCGGTGGCTGCGAGTTCGAATGCAAGCAGCGACGGAGGTGACAGGGGCGTAGTAGCACCTGCGGAGGGGGATGAAGTAGGCACGACCCTGTTGTTCATGCACCTTTGGAAGTGCGCCGGGTCATCGCTGAGGCACCTGTTGAGGGACTGGGCGGAGGCTAAGGGGCAGTACATCGGGATCGTGGTCAGGTGCACCGATGTCGTCTCCAAGGTGCGATTGCGGTGTGTACGGTGTCGCTGACGTGGGAAGGGGTTGTCGGTTGGTGGTTCGGAGCTCAGAGAGTTCGTTGCCCACGCATACCGTCTGAGATGGGAGCGTACGCAGGTCATCTCTGATTGGCGGTTCCTGTTTCTCACCTCCTGTGGGTACTTTCTACGTGCTGTCTACCTTGGTAACGTTAACGTTACGTTTTTCCGGTGCCCTTCGCTAGTTCGTCACCCGCAATCTCCGTAGTCCCCGGAAAATACCTTCCGATCAGTGTCGCTTTCTCTCTGCCGTCTATTTTGATATTCCAAACCAACACTCCACCGTGGCATGGTTGTGTGCTTTGATGCTTGGCGGGCGGGCTAATGCCTGGATTGCAATGTTGGAGTGAGGTAGCCTCGACAAGTAGGCGGAACTGGTGGTCACCAGCGAAAGACAGAGAGGGAAGACAATCGGGCTGCTCTCTGAGCGTACCTGTTTAGCAAGATGTCGACACCGAGCAGACGTTTTTCGTTCCCGATGTCCTTTGTTTGGCAATAGTTGATGTTTTAGGCCTTGGCTGGGCCATGGCGAAAGGGCAACAATAAGTGGATGAAAATGTTCGTGAGGCACGAAAGTGTTTTTCGTTTTGTTGTTTTTTCATCGTGTGGGACTCGTGTATTGCCTGGGATGTCAGTATACGCGAATGGTCTGTTCCGGCGCCTTGTTTTTCCTGGACCGCTGCTGTGTGATCGTGATTACGATTGATTGCCCCTTCAAGCAACATCGTAGGCCTTAATTAGTAAGACCAATCACTTTGGGCGATCGTTTCCAGGTCCATATCGATAGGTGGTGAGATGTTCAGTCGATAACGAAACATCAGCGCCTTTCTGAAAACGCCCGCTCTTCGTTTTCTCCCATGCCTTTTCTTTTCGCCGTTATTTCTTTCTTTTTTTTTTTCTCCATCTGTTCATTTATGTGCAGACCGGGAAAATTTGCTTGAAACGCCACTCTCTTATCAATGAGAGGTTCCAGGCGCCCTTCATTCGGCTACACCAGGTGGTCGCGGGGCACTTCACATGGGGTGAGCAGGGCACATGCCGTCTGGAATGATGCCCATTCGCTGGAACTATCCTGCACCCGTCCATGAAAACGTACACAAACCATCGGCGACCATGTCGAAGCCCAGTCAAGTATGTAGGCCTGTGTTCGCTTTTGACCGTCGGAGTACTCGCAGTACCTGCCTTTTTGGCCCAGCAGAGAACCCGAGAGGGGTGGTGACGACTTGGTCGAAAGCGATGGTTGACGGGAGTTTTCTAGGGGAAACTTCCTGGATACACCACCAGAGTACAGTTTTATCCCCAAGAATACATTAACCCCGACGGATAGAACGCGCCCTTTCGACGCTACTGGTTGCTGGTTTGAACCTGGCGCGCTGTGTTTTTTTTTTTAACTGCTCAAAGCTAGGATATAGCGCTATATCCCTAACCCAAACCCAAACGACCCGACCCAAACCTGTGGCATTGGAAAGTCCTAGGTCACTGTACCAAACAAGCCTAGGCTGCCGCAAGCAACGGCGCTAGGTTGCTGCACGGTGAAAGAGCTAGGTTGTTGCACCATTCGCGTTCTAGGTTGCTGCTGTCCCGTTTAGGCTACGTTGCTGCGCGCCGTCAGGGCTAGGCTGCTGTACGGTGAAAAGCTAGGTTGCCGTGCAGGGCTGCACCGACCCAAGGAATGTTCCGAGAAATGGTATTCCGACATGGAGACCACTGCTTTCGACCAAGTCGTCAGCACTGCTGAACCCGAGGTTTCTTGTTTGCGCGTGCTTGGGAGTAATATATTCACTTTGTTGAACAAAACACCCCAATTTCCCGTTTTTTGCGTGAGGGTTTGATGTGTGGGTCGAGCAATTCCACTCTACCCTCCGTGTTAGATTATCCTAACCCCCACGTCATGTGACCCGACGCCAAACGGTCAAGTCAAGAGTACGGCCGTTGTTCCGCAACAACACCAGAAATCAATCGGGCTCTGCCCGCTTATCCGGGGTTGGAAGACCGGCGTACTTTTGACTTTCGTTATGTCAATTGTTTCGGTTTTCCCGAAGCAAGCTCAGTACGCGGTGATTGCCGCCCTTACAAAGAGAGGTTCAGGGAAGGAGCCCGGCTTGCGCTTTTACGTGTGTTCGTCGTTCCTGAACCCACTCGCCGCCCTCTTTTTCGTTTTCGAAATTTTCGAACGTGTCAGGTTTTCAAAACCATGTGCGGCAGCCGTACGTGATGTTTACCACCCTTCGGAACCCTCTAGAATTGTTCGTGTCGGGACAGCAGTACCTCAACCGCAAGGCGTCGCGACATTTCGCTCATGTGAGTAAATAGTTTTCAGGTTGCCTTCATGTGGAGCCTTATTGCAAATACAGTAGGTGGCCCGATATTGTGGCAACCTGAATAGTGAACTGCCCGGTATGGTGGCGTGACATTCTCTTGGCAAAATCTGAACCCGATATAGTGGCACTTTCCCACTATTGCGGACGGGGCCCTCAATAGTGGCATTTTGGACATTCCACACACACCCAAAAGTGGCAGTTCCAAGTAGCGAGCCCCGACCACTGCTGTACCACACCTGCCCACACACCGATCAGCAGTGGCCGCCACACGTATCATGCAAACCTGCGCGGACCTAGAACTGTGAACACGTGGCTACAATGCGTTTGGACGTACCGTGGTTCCTGCAGTCTGTTTGCACAGAAAAATGGGATTTGACCACAGAAGGCCCGGACCCTTGGACAATCAAGTGTCGTTTGAAGCAGTTCATGCGGATACTGCTGCACACAAATGCTAAACCACGAGGAGTGCAGCACATCATGGCATTACCCGTACGTATACAGCGCACATGAGTGTACATCCAATGAAATGCAGTCGATATCGTGAATATCAAAGCTTCTCATCCGATATAGTGGCAAAGGTGCCACTATTGCCGGCCAGTAGTGGCACTTTTGCCACTATATCGGATAGTGGCAACTGCCTTGAATAGTGGTATATTGTCTTCTTGCCACTATATGCCGCTATATCGGGCCACCTACCGTAAGGAGGAGGATATTTGGTTGCGAGGGACCTGTGGGCAGTCCGATGGGCTTTCTCTTCGACGCTTTGTTGACTTTCTTTCGCCGGGCTTATCTTAAGAGAAGGAGTTTGGACGTTTTCCTCGGATTGCGGTGGTGCTTTCAAGCTGACATCTACAGCAGCAGCCGTAGCAACAGCAACAGCAGCCTCTCTACACACACGAAGACCGTCAGGACTATTCGTTTTGGCCCATTCCTATGGTTGCCGTGTTTTTTGCGCTGTTGCTCATTGCGTCCCGCTGGTGGTTCCTGTTGTTTTTCCACAGGTGCTGTTCGTCTCGCCGTGTTCTGCTTTTCTGATCTGATCTATTCTAACGAGATGTTTTGTCGGGTTCGGTTCGATTTGCAGGCGGTGTCTCTGGTGGAGGATACAATAGTACATGCGATAAAGCAGTACCAACTGAGGGGCGATGTGATGGTGCCAGAGGGAATGGGCAACAGCAAGAGCGTGGGATTCATATACCGCTTGATTGACCCCGTCCAAGCAAATTCGACGCAAGAGGTGGGACAGCGCGTTGCCACTTCCTTTGGGACGAATTGGAGGACGTACAACTGTGGGAAATAGCCTTGATTCTCCTGTTTTGGTCTTTTCTTGCCGATGTTGCCTGTCATTCGAGTATGCATTGTACATCGTGGTCACCGTGCAGTATTATGGCTCTACCATGTACCGCGAAATATGATTTTCAAGGACAAGCCTCGCGCGGACCCCGGTTGCCGCCGTAGTTGAGTTTTGAGAGTTTGGTGGTGATGTGTGCTTTTGCTGACCGATATTTCAAACTCCGCCTCCGAGAATAAGCAAGTGAGGGAACATTCTTGAGAGACGAGTAGCTGGTCCCACTTTTGCTTTCCCCGCGCCCGATGTTTCTCGCATTTCCCGTGTTGTGTTTTGCTACCATAGTCGAGGTTTGGTTGAAACCTGGCGCGACATGTGCTGAGTTCATTTGCTCGCTGATGACCCCCGATGTGGATTTATTGGATGCATCGCAGCGGTTCTTCACTCCGCATTCTTCTGGACCATGTTGATTTTTCCGTTTCCAACAACCGTAGTTTCCTTCAAAGATGTATTTGTAGCTTTCGGGAAAAATCCTTCATATGGGCCAATGCGCTCTTCAACGATTTGTTTCTTATCGGTGTCAAGTTATGTGTACGTGCTCAATTTAATGGTTTCAGGGGGGGGTCGGAGGAAAGACACTATCCGCGGGCGCGCAAGAGGCTATGGACAACCTCGACACCTTCTGGCTCGTGGGAGTGATCGAGCAATACCAAGGGTTCATGGCGGTCCTACAGGCCATGATGGACCCGAACAAGAGGTGACACTATGATGAGTGCCTTGACGGTACGATGTTGGCGATCAGCAGTGCGATGTACTTTACCCATATTGTGAGACCAACAGTAAAATGCCGTTTGACGGTTTTGCATGACTTTGGGGAACAACAGCCTTGCGGTATGTATGCTGTATTCAGGTTTTCTGGATGAAGGCTAACCTCATGTGTGAGTCTACCACCCAGAACGGCAGTTGCCAGGGTGGGGGTCTGTACTGTCCTTCTTTACTGTCGTTCTGTATGATCCTTCGGTACTAAAAGTATCGGTCGGTGCTGCTCTTTGTGCTCTCTGTCTGTACCACCGTTCTGCTTTGTAGTGGTAGGGGTGTCAATCTCGGTGGGTACCACAGCGTCGTTGTCGTTGTGATGCGCCCGCACCAAAGTGAAATAGCATGACTTGACTATTGCTGGTGGGTGCGCATGGAGTGTTTTCATCGCTAATTGGACCGTGTGCGGGGCAACTGGTCGTACGCAACTTTGGCAGTCGTTGTCCGGTTCTCCTCTCTCTGAACACAGTGGCACACATGTTTTTTCTCGCTTTTTCTCGCTCAGCGAGCGCGACATGTGGAAGAGGTACGCAGTGGGCAAGTACAACACGTCTCCTCAGGGGGCAGGGAAAGTGCTGGCAGCAATCGACCCGGCCCTCGTGCAAGAGTTCAATGAAACCTTGAGCCACCAGTGGGAGGTCTACAGCTACGCTGTCGATTTGTACAAGCATCGGTGAGAATCGTGGTTCCGTTCCAATCTGTCATGGTAGCTTTATGTTGCCTGTGTGCTTTCGTGCCACAGGTTCGGTGGTGTGCACTACTGTGCGTGGCTGCCACCTTGTTGGCGCTTTTGTACAAGCTGGCCGAATCCTACCCTTACACCTTGGTTGCGACTGGGAAAACGTCCTCTTTGGAACTCGTATGATCTTGTCGATGCAGGTGTCGCCAGATGCTTCACACCAGAGACTTGGACATGTGCGAGGTTCCTGTCGCGCCTTCCCAGTACACCCTCACCGAGCTTGAGCGAGAATCGCTTTACCAGGAGATACACCCAGAGGAGGTCAGTTTCAACGCCACCGAAATGGTTCGCGCTCAACATCTCTGGGACGAATTCAGGGGCAAGGGGTCGACGATTAGAAACCCCAGTGAGGAGGAGGCGTTGGCCTTCTTCGAGCTGCACGGGTTCGATTTCACAGACCCGGAAAAGAGGGACAATTTCGTGTCGAGGCTCCGGATTGGGATGCCGACTTTGGCGTTGGGAGAGGACGTTTTCGGCTCGGATGATCGCACGCCTGAAGAGATCGCGTCGGCAGCAGCGGCGGAAGAACAGGGGGGCGAGGACATCAAGATTGGAGGCAATGTAGAGACGGATAAGGGAGCCCGTGTTGCCATGGCGGATGCGGTAGTAGTAGGAGGTGAACAGAAGAGAGAAAAGCAGAAAAAGGAGGGAAGGAAAGACCCCAAGAAGTGAGGCCAAAAAGCTGCCGGTGTTATGGATTCCAAGACGATGAACAGGTGAGCCTCTCCGAGGTTCCGGAAACTTCGGAGAAGTCGGAGAGGGCGGCCGCCAGATGAAGATCACCGTTTGGATGACCGCCACGGTTTCACTCTGGACCATCAGGGAACGGAGGAGGAATGCACAGCTGATTCCGGATTTGACCGCGTTTGATGCAGCGGAGAGATGACAGGGATCAGCGGGGCCGCCTTGTACGAGATTCATCGCCAAAACCACCGGATGTGTTTGGTTTCGGGAATTCAAAGCATCGGCAGCGCTTCTTCTTTTGCTCGGGTCGGGATTTGAGTGTATTAGAGTTGGTGAACCCGGGGCGAAATAACTCCTGTGCGTTCAATGTGGGTTTTTTTACTAGGAGGGCACGCATGCAATCCGCCTTGTCGCTGGCTTGGTGACGACCGTGGAGCAATATGGTGGTGATCACATCTATTCTCATCTTGTTAACTCTTTGCTAGTTGTAGTTTTATTGACCGGACCTTGTTATTTTGTCTATTTCGTCCTATCGATCCTTGCACACGAGTGATAGTTTATAGTTTTTGGCTCGACTACGGGCAGCAGTCCGAACAAGAGATCGTCTTGTGGGTCGGATTGTGAATCGTCAGGGTACGCACAATATGCATTTGTGGTATATTTTGTCATTGGTGGGGTGGTTTCATGCCTGATGGGATGGAAGAGGCAATTAGCAAAGCTTGTTGGAGGTTTCATGTGAGATTTTTCCCGTTTTATGTTTACGAACGTCTGGTCGTGCTGGAGGGACGGATGGGTTCAAGGAAACCACATTGCTCCGTTAGTTTTTGGATGTCGTGTACGCACTCTGTACTCCTGGTGGTCTTGGCCCACGCCTTGTCTCGAACGCGGAGTGAGTTTTGTTGGGCATGTCGACAGTACATCTTTGTGCGCCGGTCGGGGGTTTAGGTTCGGGTTCTGGCGAGACAGCTACAGGTATATACCTCCCAATTCCTAGATCGATAGATATTTTTTTGTGCGTTGTTAGTGTTGCGGTATGCAGGTGTGACGAGGACTGGTGAGATAGTCTGGGATGCCTCGCCGAGATACTGACCTGATGACGACCGTCCCGGCAATGGTTTCCCTTTGAAAACGATACTACATTAGTTCTGCGTGATGCACATGTTCATGTGATTCCGGTTGGCGGTGTACATTCCTTGCTGGTTCGAGCTTCTGGATGGAGCAAACCGCCGACAGCGCGTGGACATCCCTTTGTCAGGATGGATCAAAGAGGCTTTGCTGCTGGATGGCCGGCAAAAGTGTTGAATTCGAGTATTCAGGACCTGTCCTGACTCTGCGTTTCTATTGCGATTTCGTAGCGCAGTAATTTACCTTCCCGATTTCTTTGCTTTGCTCAAGTAGTAGAAATGCGGAATACTTCGATATTTTACTGATAGTACTCGCACACACCAAGTATGTGGTCAAGACTGGTTGTCATAAGGAGCGTTCACGACCGTCTACCTCGCCCCGGTGGTCTAGTTGGTATCCTCGAAAGCTTCTGGAGGTCAGGTCACGAGTTCGAATCCCGGCGTAAGCGAGCTTTTCTTTCAAAGTGAGTTCTTCACTCGCTTCCGCTTCTGGCGCAGTGGATAGCGAACGGGAAGAGGGTGCTGAACTCTTCTCGGATTAAAAATCGAAGGCAACGTACCGTAGGAGGGGACGGTAGAGAGGGGCCCTTCTGCGCGTCCACGGGTTGGAGTAAACGGCACTAGTGCTCGTTGATTTGAGAGAAGAAAAAAAAAACATTTCAAGACCACAAACGGTGCTAGTGTGTTTTTCAACGCATGCGGATTACTTCTGTACGAAGGCAAATTCCCCGGGAAGAAATTCAGGAACGTAGGAACGGTTGCCGCGATGTTTCCGGAGTACAAGCTGGACCAGGCGAAAAGCTCACTTTCGTTCGTTCGCGTCTCCTTCTGTCGTTTCCACGAATATGGGCTTGAATTGTTTTTGGCTGCTCTCATGAGACAGTATGGGAAGCGCAGGTCCCAGAATCGTTCGAATCTGAGTTGATTAATAAGGTACTACACCATCAGTTAGCGGCGCAAGGGGGAATACTTCCGAAATCAGCATGAAAAAGTTACGCACCGAATAAGCTGAAACTTGGTGTGCACTTACTTGGGAGCAGTGCGAGAAAAATGATGATTGTTACAAGGCTCAAGTCATCTTCTACCAAGAGATATGGCCTCGTACAGAATCCGACACAACACAAGATAGCCAAGGAAATGTGAGGTTGTCGCAATTACATCACGACTTTTACGAGTTGGAATCTGAAGTTTTGACATGTGGTCGGTATTAGTACAACCAAGACCTTGACTGGAAGCACCCTTTTTTTTTTTGTTCACGAGGTAGCCCTGTTATAGGACAAATGGTGTTTTTTTTTTGCGTATAGGGGGGCTAAAAATAAAAAAAGTGCTTCCAGTCAAGGTCTTGGTTGTACTTATACTGACCACATACATGTCAAAATTTCAGGTTCTTATTCGTAGAAATCGTGGTGTAAATCGTTATCAACCATTTTGCATGCAACTTGGCTGGCCCAGCTTGTAGCAGTACGGAGAATGGTACAAGTACAGGTACCAGGAATGGTATTTAAGTTGCCGGAACGCTTCCGGACTTGTCTTTGAGTTCTTTTTGCATCTACGTCGGTAGGCCCCGACGGAGAAATAAGATGATGGTAGACAGAGCGCGCACCCGCCTACCGGGTTCACTCTGTTTCCTGCCCGCAACAGCCAAAAAAATAAAAGAAGTTGAACCATATTCTCAACTCTCTGACTGACACATCAAGTCGGTCACGCAGACTAACCGCTGCAGTGCTCACTCTGCACACTCGTCACACTACGGTGACATTGTCATTTGTCTCGTTCGTGTACGCATCTCTTGGTTTTCTGATCGCTGACTGTGGCCTCCAGCAGCAGCAGTACACCTGCTACCAGACAGGCTAGTTTTAGCGTGCGACCACAATTGTTCATTGTAGTGCTTGGGACGACGATCGCGTCTCGACAGACCCTTGACCTCTGATATTATATCAGATTCGCACAAAAAGTACTGCTGCCGCGTTGCGGGTGGATGGCTCCCGCGGCAAGTGCGCCTCAGCGCGGCATCGTTGTATTGTGAGAGATCAATGCGCATATACACATCAGCTACACTAGGCATTTCCAACTACTATGCCAAGGTTCTAGTTTTTCCACACGGTGATTCCCTCAATCGTCGTCAAAGTCGTCCTCGTACATCCCCGCGGCTGCCTCGGAAGCCTCCCGATCCAACTTATTCCCAGCAACACCGCCTCCCACATCGGTGCTTCCTTGCATTGCGGTCACATCCCAACCCACGGACAGTCCTCCTTCTGGGTAGTTGCCGCTGTTTCCTCCATCGCCCGCAGTTAGTAGCGGCATGGTTGACCCTAATCCCGGGTCGGGGCGATAACCCCCATTGTCGACGTCTACGGCAGCAGCGGCAACCATTGGCTCCTCGGGCGAGAGGCTGCGTTCTAGCGATGGTCGAACTTTCGCGATCAACGCCGCCATCGCGCTCTCCGTCTCCTCAGGCGAAAGCGGAGACCCTGGCGCCGCCCCCGCCGCCAAAACCGATGCCGGCGATACCCTCGTGGTCTCTGTGTCGATGGCATCCGCATCATCCGCAGACGCGATGGCAACCGACGTTTCGTTTTCAGTATTCTTGTTGTCGTTGACGCTCGGGTCGTGCAAACATGGAGTGTTTTCCAGAGGCGTCTCGTTTTTTTTAGCGCTTGCCGTGTTCGAAACCAACGCATCGGTAGCCACATCATCTGCGGCATCGGGAGATGACTCGGTGGCAGGAAGAGCCCCTGTTTTGCTGACCTTCGGCGGCGATGATTGATCGCCGAAGTTAGCGCGGTAGCACATGGACGTCGTCTTGTAACCCTCGACATCATCATCGCCTTCGTCATTTTCCCTCGATTCTGGGAGAAGATTGGTTCGCGCCCTGCTGATAGCAAAGCCTGCCTCCTCTTGAACGTCGCTGCTGAGCCTGTCCACTCTGCTGGTTTCTCGGGGTCTCGATGGCTCTGCTTCTTCAGGTTGGATTCCGTTTTCTCTACCCAATACCTTCCCTTCCACGATCTTTTGCGGTAATGACGTTGACGTGAAGGCCTCGACGGTGTCATGGACGACCGGTAGCAATTTGCTTGTACCCGGCAGAATCGAGCCATCCAAGCCATTGTTGGAGGGCCAGCTAGGTCCTCTCCTACGGTGGTCCGACGGGGCGCTGTTTCCACTCCTTTCGCGTATCGGCAACATGGCATCGTCAAATCCCGAGGCGCTCTCAGGCACACCAGACGACCAATTGGAATATCCCCGTACGTTAGTCGAAGAGAAGCAGTGCAGACTGCCATGCCGTTCCTCCCTCTCTCCCTCTCCCTCGCCCTCCCCAACCGCCCTCTCTGGCCCGCTCGCTGCTGGTGGAACGTTCCGTCCAGTGTCAGGACGGATGTTAGTCTCGGTGCTGTCCTCCTGTTCTGCATCGGTGGAATCGACCGGCCTTGCCAATACCGCCGTAGAAGCAACCTTAGCATAAACGCGTCCAACGAGTCGACCGTCCTCCACAATTCCATCGGGGGCCTTATCTCGCTCGCTTTTTGAAATTGCCACTTCTGGCGTTGTTGCCTCTACCGCTTGGGGGAGAGAGCCGGCGAGTCCTGTTGCTGCTGTGCTCAGGATCCCCGAGTGAGCAGCCTCGTTACGATCGCCATTGATGGCATTCGTCGCCTGACAGGCCTCCACTGAATCGCTACTATCCGGGGTCCGAGGGCTGGCAGGTGCGATAGGCTTCACCCAGGTCGACCTGGAATGATGTACAGGGTTTCGGAAATGCGTGGTATACGGTACGCGGGTGATCGTTCGTCGACTCGGGTGAGCCGTGTTAGGGACGTGAGGCAGCTCCCCCGACCGGCGAGATCAACGACAAGTGAAAGTCTTGCAGATGTGAGTGTTACTTGGTCGAAAACCTTAGAAGGCCGGCAACACGCGAGGATAAGTACCATTGGCGCTTCAGAGACATCAACCAATACCCGCGTCGAGAGTGTACATAACTCCTACTGGCACTCACTACAGTTATGTAGATGAACGATACTTTTGGACTACATATGTACAATTTGTACGGCGGAAGAATGCCCCCCTCTCAGGACGACTTCGTACCTCTTTTCCGAAAAGTAATAGACGTGGCCACTCTCCTCGTCAACAGCTTCTGCCCAACCCTGCGGTAGCCCGCCTTTCTCCTCTTCCCACCCAACACCGGCTCCCCCGCCACCATGTCCTACGGTGCCGTCCCTACCTACACTCGTACTCCCGCTCCCCCCCCATTTTGATGTTTGGTTATCCCCGGACTGGTCGGTAGGGGTGTAAAGCCTCGAAGACGCTGACCTTGGGCGATACTTTCCGGCAGTTCCATCGCTGCCGGTAGCGATAATATTGTGGTCACAACGGTTTCCTCTGATTCGACACCATTCGGCTCGGGAATTCCCCCCCGCCGTCGCTGGTCTCGGCCTGTTGCCATTCCTGCCGTTCGCCATCGACGCTACCGAAAAAAAACAAGAAGAACTCGTCGGCCGACGTTTCGGCGAGAAGACTGCCCTCGTGCCCCGAGAATCCTCCGCCCAATCGTCGCTCTTTTCCACCGGACATGTACTTGCGATACCGCTACCGCCGCCGCCCTCGCCGCCGCCCTCGCCGCCGCCGGATCCTCGCCTCTCTTTTTGCCGTTGTTGGCGTTGCGGAGAAAATACCGCGCTTCGGCTGGCAGAACCGGAAGAAGCGAAAGTACGTCTGCCATCGTTGTCGATTTTGCTCCAGTGGCCGCTATTTTTGCCGGTTGCTGCGACGCGGGCTCCTGTAAACCGGTCAAGCCCCGCCGGAGCTGATCTGCGGACGGACACGGAGAACAAGAGAACAATCGTGCGGCAATATGGCACCTCTGTAACCTTTCGAGGGTTCATGCTAGGAAAGCTACCGTACAAATCTGTGGGGTGTTCCAGGCTTGAATAGGTTTTGGTGCGGGGTACGTATTGGACTCGGTAGAGTTATTTCTGGATATGTAGGGAGTTTCGGGCATTCTGAGTGGGTGCGACGGTAATCATTAAGACCTACGTGACGCTGATACCGAGTTCAAACACGACCTGAGAATATTTCCCAAAGTAGAGAATAGGATCTGCTGAACGAAATTGGGTGAGGGAGGATACACAGTACTCGTCCCGAAAGGGCAGACAGAGCGACCGCCATTTGCTCTCCAATCACTGGGTGCTTCCGACCTTGATGGGGTGAGCCCGCCCTTCCAAGCCGGCGAGTTCAGCTGCCTCAACCATGGCGGTGGTGGCCACTCTCCACCGATCACAGTAGCTCGCCTGTAGTCCCTGCTCAAAACGATTTGTTGTGTTTGATGGTACAGAGTCAGGCGGGGAGCGCCGGTTTCTGTTGCTGCCTCCCAGGCCTCGTTTCTCGTCTGGGCCTACGCAGAAAGGAGTTTCCTGTGGTGCATGATTTCAACGTTTCTCGTGAGTGGAGAGAGAATTATGCTTCTTTGCCCTACGATATCACAGTTGAATATGGTGCCATTGCAAGCAAGCACAGTGTCACTCGCGTCACCGCAGAGGTGATTCAAACGCCTAACTTCGACCTCCCAACGTTTCCTGAGACCAGGCTTGCGGCCAAAAAAAGAACTGTTTGACACTACGAAAAGCGGAGTAAAACCATTTCCTCTTTGTGGATCACTACGACTTTGGTCCACATCATGCTTTCGAAGCGCACGGGAAGAAGACTCGACGGTAGGGTCTCACGACCTCTACTGCACGTACTATATTCTGCAACGAATCAGCACTCTTCTTGGTGGAATTCCCCCCCCAACCCGTCGACCGCCCCCCCCGGTGTTTGCCATCGGGGTTGGGTTTTCGCGCTTGGCAACGACGTTATAAAACAAGCCAATTCACTTCGTGAGCTCGGCAACCAGGTTACCGTTTTTTTTTATTTTTTGGCGGTAACCATAATGGTGGTCGAGTAGATCATGTTGTGCGGGGCGGAGAACCCTCACTCCCTGCAAGGGGGATGATCGCACCACGTTGTGTTAAATTGGTCAAGCACCCTCGAGGCAGTTACACAGTGCTTACAACTGTCTCTGGAAGTGAAGCACCAGAAAAAAAATTTAGTCATACACAGCTATCGTCCGTATTCAAGGAAGTAAGCGCAAGATGCCGAACATCCTTAGCAGGATGCAGCGCAACCGTCACGCGACTCGCCGAATACCTCACGGCGCTTCGTGCTCGGTGATGTGAGAACCTGGTCCGGTGAGAACCCGGCGTGCTCCGTCACGGCTTTGTAGGGATGCGAGGTCAATGGTCTAACGACTACGGCATGCACGACTATGAGTACAACCCGTCGATCGGGTGCGCCTCGTGTATACTCGCTTTACGGAATGTTTTACGCACTGAGCTCGTTCTTCGTATCGGTGGCAATCTTCAGCCAACAACCCTTGTGGGCAGCACTAACAGCTCAAGGAAGCACGTTGTGACGGTGGTTCTCACGGGATCGACCCTCACCTAAGGCTGCGCTCTAGCTCCTGCATCCTCGTCCGTTGTTTCTCGATTCTTTGGTGCTGTGCCAGCACTAGCCCCTTCATCACGTCCACCTCCATTTCCGTGGTCAGACCCACCCTCCCACCTTTTTCTGTGCCGGACGCTCCTCTCGCATCTACACCTACAGGAAAATTTTTGTGTTGTGGCGGCGGTTCGACCAGACGGCAGAGGGCAACACACCTCGTAAGACGCAATCATGGGACAATGAAGCGGGACGCCACTTCATGTATCATTTTTTGTTCGGCAGAACTACTCCGCGATTCCACACTTAAAAAAAACTACCATTGGTATTCCTTAAAAGGAGAAGGGTGAGGGCAAAGCTTGTCTGGGAAGGGGAACATGCTACAACACGTCATATCCAAAGGAAAAAATGTGAACTGTTGACCTCGAACAATACCGAAGGCATTCACCCCCCCCCCCCCACCTTTGCGAGCGCACCGGCCATCCCAGGCCCGTCTCACCTCGTTTGGCGCGATCTCTCCCCAACGAGGACCCCGTAGCGATCGGGCCGTCGATTTTCATGAACCCTCGACTTCCTCCCGGCGCGAGGACGCCGAGAAGCCCCGCCTTTGCCCGAGAGCTAACAAACACTTCTCCATTCCGCTGTCGTTGTCGGCCCCCTCGGGCGTCCTTCCGATCGCGAACAGCACTCCCCTGCGGGCTGGTCGCTGTTTGGGGGCTTTGAGGGTACCCTTGTTGTCGGTGTTGTTGCAGCTGGTGCTGCTGTTGCTGGAGGTCGTCAGGGTGACGGGGTTTGTGGGGTCGCTGTCGACTTTGCTCCCGGTCCGCACCCTTTTGTCGGGGGTTATGTCGGATCGACATTGCGCCGTCCGAAGACAAGCTGCAGTCCTCCTTGTCCGTCGGATCAGTGGCTGCGGAGGGGGAACCGTTACTCACAGGCTCTTCCTCCTTCTCTGACCTTGTGGCCCCCCATTTTTGCGGTGTTTTCGGCTTTGGCGCTGTCACAGCTGATGGAATGTCCACCACGCGTGACATGAACGGTACCGGACCTGCCGCCCTAGCAGGGGAGACACCGCTACCGTTGAGATTCTCATCGAGCTTTGCTCTCAGTCGCTCCACCTGAAAATTGGCACATTGAGCGGGAGATCCGTTTGTTGGAAACTTGACAGCTAGCTTGTTCGAAGCAAGGCTTCAGCGTGAGAAAGCAATCCGCACAAACAGTTGCTCCGAATTGGCCAGATTTTGAACTTTCTGATATCATCGTTACTGTTACTCTTGGCTCACACCGCATGGTAATGATGTTGGTCGGTTACTATCCTGTGGCTTGAAGTTCATTCAACAAGCAGCGTCCTCCGGTTGTGTTGATTCGAAGTCTGGGGCGATCAGCGTTACGGTGGAGTATCAACTGTTGTTACGCGTTGTTACTCGTCCTACAGATCAATGTCCCGTGAGAACTGATGACCTTTTTCCTTGGTTGTCTCGAAAAGTAACTGATGTCCAAGACCGCACACGTTCAATGAAAACCCGGTACAATGCTGTGTGCACAGCCGTTCACGACTGTCCTTTCAGACCAACCAGAGCTACCCAAGGACCGCCGAGCTGGCAATGGTAAGTTGGTGTCGCTTACTCAATATCACCTCCCTAGGTACCGGGGAATAGGTCAGAGCTACTGACTACCACGGGCCCAAGCAGAGGCGTCAACGTTTACCCCAACAACAAATTCGATGTCGTTTTTCAGTACCTCGCTCACGTACTCCTCCCCTGCCGTAAGCATCTCCGCGAGGGCAGTGAACTGGCACGACCGTTTCAAGCGCAGGAGTTCCTCCTCCGTATGTGCCAGTCGTTCCGTCACTCGTGACAACTGTGAGTGGTTGTCGAAAAGCCAAACAGGTTTCACGGAGGAAGCAGCGAATGTACAGGCTCGGGGGCATTTACTTTCAGCCGGTCGCGCGCAACGTTGTGCATTATGGTACATGAGGTCAATCGTATTTTGTCAACTGTAGTCTCTAGAAGCATGTGTTGATCACGTTCGGCGTACAGAAACATATTTCCTCGTAAAGGGTGATGACCTGCGATGCCGGGTTGAGGACAGCATTCCGGGTCTTCCTTTGCAAAAGTGCAGACGACCGGATTGGAATCATCCTCGCCAAAAAGACATATGCTCGCTCCTCCCTGCTGTGGGCCCACCAATGATAGCTACAGCTACGATTTTGGACGAAACCAGCCATACCAAGTACGAGGTCGACGATAGCAACCGCGATGACAACGCCAATAACAACAACGGCAAAGCAACGACGGCGACGTTGACAATGACAGAAATGACGACAATGACTTTGACAATACCAACAACAACAACAACATCAGCAACAATAACAACGGGACAATCGATCTCACCTGCTCTCGCAATCGGCGGACCACAAGCGACTTTTCTAACTCTCTGCGATGCTCCAAGATTGCCAACTGCCGCTGCGGCGGTCCTCTACTAGGCCCATTCTTCACCGAGCCGTTGCCCGTGAGATCCAGGCCATAACGGTAGGTCGGTAACATCTATTCTTCACAGAAACGTAGATTTCACAAGTAAACAAGGCGTTGTCGTAGCTCTCAGACAACGAAACAAAAATAGCAGAGGATATTGTAGCGGCCTCCGTGAGAGAAAACGAGAGACAGAGAGAGAGAGTCCCATTCGTGTAATCTGGTTCTCGGTAATATGCGAACAGGAGAGAATGCGCGTGCATGCGGGCTTACATAAGAAGATATGACTCAAACCTACGCTCATCGCGTTCCTCCAGGTATCATAGATGACGATAACATTTGTACCTCTGCCGACTGATGGAGCACGCCTGCCACGTTTTCCTCCTGATGCTCCAGCCGCTTTCGGGCTTCGTTGGCCTCCGCACGGGCATTTTCAGTTTCTGCTTTCCAGTGCTCAACTTCTTTCCTACGCCACGGCAAGGAGGGCAAGGGGTTCTGTCGGCACACGCTGGAGCGTTGTATTTTCCAGAAATGGTGCACGGCATGGATCTGAGGCCCGCCGTTCTGGGGGCCAAAAAAGAACAATTGGCTGCTCCGAGCTCCGGCAAGGCAAGTTGCAGCAATGAGTGGCGCCCTTGAACGTGCCACCTGTGTATCTAGCCTATAGCAGAAGAAAACAGTCTTGCTGCCTTAGGTCGAGCCTCGTTGCTCCATGTAACGCTCATGAGAAAACTCTCAACTGAACTTCTTTCGACAAGAGCGGAATACGAGAATGTATCGAATGGCATCCTAGCACGCTGGGGAGGGGTTGGTCTTGTGTCTTATTGTATTGACAGACCACACAAATCGTGGCAACATTTATTGTGGGGATTGTTACAATGCGTTTTCAAAAAGGGAACCGTGATGGTCTCACGTTTAGACCACGTGGCAGAAAGATAAAATGTATTGAAAGCATATACCTCAACTGGGCCAGTTCCTTTGATCCCTCCGCGGCAAGCTCGACTCTGCTCATGTACGGCCTACCGGCTCCCGCCGCCCCTCTTCGCGCCCTTTCCCTATCCGGGGATTCCCATGTCCCAGCAGCTCTGGCCGCCGCCTGGAGGCAGGTAGCTCGATTTCAGGCAGGCTGATGATGAATCGTACGGGATAAACGACCACCGACAGGGAACCTAATGTGTTGTCGTTTTATCTCTCCGAGGATGCCTACAAGGGTCGCCCATGGCAACGTCGCGACTGACATCGGAGAATGATGTGTACCAGGAAGTTAAACGAGGTACTGGGACGGGAGGGGATCAAGGAGAATGCGGCTCAACCTCCTGTGCTGGTGGTTTTGGCACCAATGGCTGGACGAGTGCGGTCGTGAGTAGTTTATTCAAAGCACTAGCGCATGTCTGGGTTATGTTCCAATCCGAGGTGATATAATTGTGGCAAAGTCGTCTGCTCTCATACCCTACGTCACAACATCGATCGGAAATCAGGGGGACTCGGATGCCGGAAAATATGGACAGGCCTGTCTATCCTATGTCAACCGTACGGTGTCGATGATACTGCTGTAGACCCTGACACCCGTTGACGTCGCAGCCACATCATCAATGAGCGTAGGTAATGGTACACGCATGGGTTCACTCTGTCATACCAAAGGTCCAACAGATTCGGACTAAAAAAAGGGACACACAATCAAAGTCAATCCTGAACGTTTCAGTTTTGCGTTGGCAACCTTTGGTATTCTTAAACCACAGGCAGGTCTAGTTCGTGCCCGAAGATCCTATCTCTCTCACCTCAGCCGAGCGCGCCGCGGACGCCGCCAGCTTCGCGGCAACTGCCCTCCGTGATGAAGCGGTCGGAGCCAGCGCCAAGGCGCCGCGGTCATCCCAATCCCGGGCGTTTGGCACACCCCCGCCGAAATTCAACGCTTCCGGAGCCATCGGCGCTTTCGCCACCCGCTGCGCGAGGAACTCGCCCGCTTCGCAATCTCTCCGCCCTCCACCGGCACGTCTGCAAGCGCCACCGCCACCGGCCCAATCGCCGCTTGCGCTGCTGTTGTCATCTCGTGGGGGAGGTAGTCTTCTTCGGCGATAGCATCGATGCGCAGGGGTTTTGTTGGTGGTGGTGTTAGTCCCGGTTGCCGCTGCCGTCGAAGAGGATGCTGGCGTCCTTGAGAACGGCTGAGCGGATGCCGGGCGAGTCCGCGGCTGCGTGTGATGATTATACCCAGCGTTCACAACGGTGGCAGTAACGCGACCATGGAAGGGTGCGTGCGGTTACCATCACCTCTATGTGGCCATGCATCATACTATCTTGGGCATCCTTTCTGGCCAGGAAGGTTTGGTCATGCAAACCGGCTTGGCCACGCAAACCGGTTGCAACGGCACAATAAACGGGTCCATCCTGCATCAACAGGTCAAGCGATGCCTCAATGTTCGAGGATTTGTGGGCCTTACCTGTTGTTGTTTCACGGAGATAGTGAAGGCAGTCGTGTTCGGTAAAAAAATGATGCGGTCGAAATCGTCGCCTCCGAGCGAAGAAAACCAAACGGCTGCTATCAGTAATAATGTTTCCGCGAATGCCACCCCGTTGCTACACACGTTCAACGAGAAACGCAGGTACACATTTCCTTGAGATTTACCCCCCTCTCGCGCTATCCAGTTGATCCTGTTGGCCCCAACCACCAAACACAACCATGCGTCTCTACCTTCCCCGGTCGCACGTGCCGTGCAACCATGCCGGAGGCCCCGGAAACATCGATACCATCCCATGCCGCGGCTGTCTTCTGCCGTCGCGATTTCTTGAGCTGCCGCGGTGGGCACCCCCTGGCGGATGCCCCGCCGTCATCGTCGCCGTGGGCAATACCTCCACCGGTTCTTCTGCGGAGAGGGGCGCTCGCCGGCCGGGTCGATTTCACCTTTTTCTTCGCTCCTGCTGTCTTTCCCCTCGCCATTCCCGCGGTGTCAGTCTGGTTCCAGTTCCAGGGTCGTTCTTCGGAAGCGAGGGCGGTGTCGGCTGTTTCGGGAACGGCGGAAAAAGGCGGCGGGGCCACGGCCGCGATCCTCGTGCCAAGCGCGGAGGAGCGAACGGCTGCCGTGTGCATTTTCTTGGTTTCGGGACAGCAGCGGTGGCGTCTTCTCAGACGAGGAAGTGGTGGTTTCTGTTGAAAGTGTAGGTTGAGAACAAAGGATAAGGAGAGGTTGGTAATACGTAGTGTATGAATGGGTTATCGGAACAACACGCTTTGCTTTCAACGCTGCTGCATTGTGAGAAGGGCTTAGCCACAGCGCTGCGTGAGTGGGTAGGGCTCTGCTTTCCGCAGTCTAGGCAGCGAAATGGCTTCGCTATTTCTGGGGGCCTGAATACATCTCTAACAGGATAGGAAAACAACACAAATTTGTTTTTTAGTGCGGTTCATTATGTGGAACGACGAATTCATTACACCATTGGGCTCTGAAAGAGAGGTTCCTACGGGATTCAGTACGGTATTAACCCTGCCGCTCTGAGTGCAAGTCGAAACGAGGATTGTTGTTGTTGTTGCCTTCACATGAAAAACCATTCCGATCTCTCGCTACCCAGTGCCTTCGTATGTCCGTACTGATCCAGCACTCGACGCGGTCGGTTCCCGTGGTCACAGGTTAACTTACCCTAACAAGGCACACTCAAATGAACTGGCCCCTAGGGGTCCGCAAGTCAATAGAAATCAACGACACATATTCTGGAGTCCTCCACTCTGCGCCCTACGCGAGGTAACAGCTGAGACCAGGAGTCACCATCACGGGCCGGAGATAAAGAGGTACACCCCCTTGGTTCAATCATGGTACGTCACAACGCAAGGAGTGACACGGCCATCTAGCACAGAAAAAAAGAGAGAAAAAAAAGAGAGAAAGGAGAAAACAGAGAAAAAGAGAAAAAAAATAAAAGGAAACAGTAAGGAAAGAGAAACAAAATGAAAAAGAGCGAGGGCAAGAAGGGACCAGGCCGAAAATGACAAGATACGAGAGACAGAACAAGGCACACGGTGGAGAGACCACTAACGAACAAGCAACCACGCAAACGTGGCCACCAACCAGCGATACATTGTAATGGTACGTCATCACTAGTGAGAGGTTGGTGCAATGGTGCAGCGTTGGGGGGGGGAATTGGCTAACGGAAATTCAATCCGGCACGTATCGCGCCACTCGGTCCGTCTCTTCTCGTTTGTTTTCTTCCATCGCCGCCTCGTCCGTCTCCTGCCCCCCTCCCGCCCCATTGGTTGTTGGCTTGTGGTTTCGTTTGAGCGTCCGTTGTCGGCTGGCCTCATCTTCCTTCTCGTGCCAGGAGGTCATGAACCTCTCAGCTCCCTGCAGCACCGCCGCATGCCAGTGTACTCCCCCCTCCACCTTCGCGGCTTCCGTCCACTTTAACTTCGGGGTCGTGTCTTTCGGCACCGGGATTCCGAGACAACATGGATTGGTTTTCGTAGATCCGTGGTCGGCCCCGAATGCCTTCAGGTCGTCAAGCACACACTTCGGCCAGTTTTGATCCTGTCCCCCCCCTACGTCGCTTCTCCCCCTCCGCCAGCTCGCCGAGCATCAGTCGTTTCGGGAGTCGCCCGTCCGACTGCCTTGCCAACGCTCCCGCGAACAGTAGGCGTCGTTGTCGGATCGTGGCTTCAACGCTCTGGCATTCGACCCTCTTCAGCGTCTGGGCGTACGAGAGCTGCCGGTAGGTGTCTTTCTTGCGCTTGTACCCGATGACTCGGAGGAGCAGTCGGTGATGTATCGACCGCAGCGTCTGATAGTGGCCGCTGAGTAGTGACCATGTCATGCAGCCGTACAGCAGTGCCTCCATCGCCTCCGCCTGGAGCAGGCGGATCTTGAG